AACAGTACAAAATAATAATAACATAAATAAACCTTAAATAATACAAAAGAAAAAAAACATTACATTTAAGGGGTCAGTCCATATAAGTTGACAAAAGCTTAGAGAGTTTTAAGACACCTTTTGTTTTTACCTGTTTTATAGATTTATATAAAATACTGAAATCATTTTTAAATGCTTTGAAACAAGGAGAAACTTTAACAAATGTACATTGGTGGATATACTTTTTTTTTTTTTTACAATTTGCTACAAAATTACACAGAAATTCAATTTCTTTGTTTTTTTTTTCATAAAAATGCCAGTCTTTATGCTATCATTATACAACTGTCTTGATGCTATCATTAAGCAACTAAGTTATCTTTCTATACTTTTTTCTTACCATTGTATTAGCATTATACTCTTCACATGTTGGTTAAAAAGTAATATTTGGTGTTGAATATCTGTACTTACCAGAACGCAGTTTATTTATCAAGCAGTGATTGGAGAACCAAAAAGTGCGGCTCGAATGAAAAACAATCTTGCAGAAAGTTACTGGAGGCTGACGAGAAAGTGCGGAAATGTTGGTGTGATGACGTCACGCGCACCCGCCTATACGACACGCCCACTTTTAAAGTCACATACGCAAAAATATTATATTAAAAATAACATATTTTGTATTATAAAATAATGCCTGTATTATATACAAAAATATTTACAAATATAATCATTAAAATGTGTTTTAAATCTTAAACTGTAAAATAATTACTGGTTGCCTTAAATTTTAAAGTTAAATGAAAATAACCTTATGAGTGTGTCAGATTTAAATTAACTTTAAACTGACTTAAAATCACACACACAACATAAAAACTTAAGTCAGAAACATAATTAACTTAATTTCATTAATACTTTCTGTGCTTTTAGTTTTCCTACTTATTTTAATAATATATTACATGTTAATCATTCAGTGTCGCCTCACAGCAGGAAGGTCGCTGGTTCGAACCTCGGCTCAGTTGGCGTTTCTGTGTGGAGTTTGCATGTTCTCCCTGCCTTCGCGTGGGTTTCCTCCGGGTGCTCCAGTCCAAAGTCATGCGGTACAGGTGAATCGGGTAAGCTAAATTGTCCGTAGTGTGTGAATGTGTGTGGATGTTTCCCAGAGATGGGTTGCGGCTGGAAGGGCATCCACTGCGTAAAAACTTGCTGGAAACATTGGCGGTTATTATATCATTCATTTTCTTGTCGGCTTAGTCCCTTTATTAATCCGGCACAGCAGAATTTATTAATCCGCCACAGCAGAATGAACCGCCAACTTATCCAGCACATGTGGATGCCCTTCCAGCTGCAACCTATCACTGTGAAACACATACACACTCATTCACACACACACTCATACACTAAGGTCAATTTTTGCATACCCAATTCATCCACGTGTTTGGACTTGTAGGGGAAACCGGAGTACCCAGAGGAAACCCACACAAACACGGGGAGAACATGCCAACTCCACATTGAAATGCTAACTGATCCAGTCAATTATTTACCTTTGGCTTAGTCCTTCGTCTGTCATGGGACGCCACAGTGCAATGAACTGCCAACGTTTCCAGCATGTGTTTTACGCAGCGGATGCCCTTCCAGCCACAACCCAGCACTGGAAAACACCCATACACACTAATTCACACACACATGGCCAATTTAGTTAATTCAATTCACCTTTAGCACATGTGTTTGGACTGTGGGGGAAACTGGAGCACCCGGAAGAAACCCACGCGATCGCAGGGAGAACATGCAAACTCCACACAGAAACGGCAACTGAACAAGCCAGGACTCGAACCAGCGACCTTCTTGCTGTGAGGCGAGAGTACTAACCACCGAGCCACTGTGCAGCCTGCTTATTTTATAATTAATAAATTAAATATATAATAATTTTTACATTACATGAGCTTTACATTTTATATAGTATACATTATAAACAATTTATACCATATCAATTAAATATGCTATGAAATGGGTTATTTATTATTAAGCTCTGCAGAGCTAATCCAATATATTTTTAATAAATAATCTAGCAATTTCTTAAAATGTTGCAGAAAAAAAAGGCCAAGTAAAAGTTGTTTTAGATCAAATTGACATACTGTCATATTTATTAAGGTGACTTTGTGTAAAAAGCAGGACATGACATGAACAAAAGGAAAACACATCTTTTGTGTGTGAGTTTTTTTTTACAACCTTTGTAAGTTTCAAACATTGTTTACATGGCATGACTGGACACATAAATTACCAACACAGGCTCATTCTGAAAACGTAGCCCTAAATACATTTGTGGAGATCACGAATTATGTAGCCAGAAGTACATATAGCTGCATTTCATCTTTAAAACAAACACTACATGGTGGTATGATGCAGTTCATATTCACGCTTACCAGCTGACCGATTACCTCTGTATGGATGGCTTTCCTGCTGTTACCAGTTTGTCCAGTAGCTTGCCGTGTAAAATGGTGAACTTGTGACATACTGACAGGGTTCGAGTCCAGCAAAGACCGGGTCCAGAAAGCAGAAAAAAAAAAACTAAATCTGTGCTTTTGAAAACAATGTCGGTTGGGTTTAAGGAAGTGGATCAACGGGTCAATCGGTGCTTTTAAAAACACTTTGGGTTGGGTTTAGGGAAGTGGGTGGGTGGGTCAATCTGTGCTTTTGAAAACATTATCGGTTGGGTTTAGGGAAGGTGGTGGGGGAGTCAATTGGTGCTTTTGAAAACACTATCGGTTGGGTTTAGGGAAGGTAGTGGGCGAATTAATCAGTACTTTTGAAAACACTGTCGGTTGGGTTCAGGGAAGTGGGTGGCCAAATTATTCGGTGCTTTTAAAAACACTGTCGGTTGGGTTTAGGGAAGGTAGTGGGCGAATTAATCAGTGCTTTTGAAAAAACTGTTGGTTGGGTTCAGAGACGTCAGTAGGCAAATTAATCGTTGCTTTTGAAAACACTGTTGGTTGGGTTCAGGGACGTGGGTGGGCGGGTCAATCAGTGCTTTTGAAAACACCATCGGTTTAGTTTAGGAAAGGAAGAGGGTGGGTCAGTCGATCAGTCAGTCAGTTGAGAGCAGCCTCTGGTGGATTTATGTGAGAACAGCAGGCACAAATGGCACTCGCAAGAGAAATATTAGATCTCAAAAAGCGCACACAGTGGTCTCTGGTGGATTCGCAAAATCAAAAACTGCTAAAAACGTAGCTCCTGGGACATATTTGGCGCTCTCTATGTATATAGGGGTATATTAGAATGAGCCTGGGTTGTGGATTACAACTGAATGATTTAGCATTTTTATGAATATGTGACACATAACAATTACACTTTGGCAACAAAGATTAAAAAAAGTGGTTGATTTAGACCACAGGTGTCAAACTTAGTTCCAGGAGGGCCACAGGTCTGCACAGTTTAGCTTTAACCCTAATCAAACACACCTGATCAAATTAAGCCTGAGTCCTTCAGGCTTGTTTGAAACCTACAGGTTAGTGTGTTGGAGCAGGATTGAAACTAAACTGTGCAGGGCTGCGGCCCTCCAGGAACTGAGTTTGACACTCCTGATTTAGACTAATCAGATCAATTGCCGGTAGTTTTAGTTTTTTTCAGTTGTTGGTGAAAATATCTGACAATCTTATTTCCGATAGTTTGTAATAACCATGAAGCTTAAATCTGTAAACTACCCCCTTTTTTGCACATTATAGTTTAAAATATCAGTTCATGTGTTGCTTAGTTACGAAGCTTCATAACGATGACTACCTGAAATTATAGCCCTTTATTATCAGTGACGTAAACAAGATATGAGTCTTTTCAGATCACCTGCTAACACTTAAATCTATTATAAAAGATCATATTCAACTGAGATATATATATATATATATATATATATATATATATATATATATATATATATATATATATATATATACATACAGTGCTCAGTATAAATGAGTACACCTCTTTTACACCTTTTATTTTAATACTTTCAGTCACACTTCATTTTAATGTACAATTAACGCTATTAACAAACCATTAACTAAGACTTATAGCTCAATAAAATGCTAGTTAGCTGCTAATTTATAGTTATTAGGTTAGTAGTTTAGGTATTGGGTATGACTTGAGATATAAAATAAGATCATACTTTACAACAGTTAAAATCTCAATAATAGTCAGTTAATAATTCATTAAAGGGTGTGAAATATGACATAAACTAAAGTGTTACCATACTTTGTAAATGATAAGATGTTTTGTTTATATACATTAGTCAAAGCCAAAATGGAAAATAACAAAACAACCAGAGGTGTAAAAAATTTCACCTTCAGCTTAGTCTCTATGTCAGAGGTCACCACGGTAAAATAAACCACCAACTATTCCAGCATATGTTTTATGCAGCGGATACCCTTCCAGCTGCAACCCAGTACTGGGAAACACTCATTCACACTCATACATTACAACCAATTTAGTTTATTCAATTGACCTGTAGTGTATGTGCTTGGACTGTGGGGGAAACCGGAGCACCCGGAGGAAACCCAAACCAACAAGGGGAGAACATGCAAACTCCACACAGAAATGCCAACTGGCACAGCCAGTACTCGAACCAGTGACCTTCTTGCTGTGAGCAACAGAGCTAGTGTAGCAGGGGCCAGCTCGTAAGTGCTGTGCAGGTAAACCTCACCAACCGACTCTAGTGCGGAAGGTCGCCGGTTCGATAGCGGGTTGGGTTGTGTAGAACTGGCTGCATTTTATTGGTGCCGTGACCCGGATGGGAGTGAGGTTTAGGGGAGTGAGTGTAGCAGAGGCCAACTAGTAAGTGCTGTGCAGGTAAACATCACCAACCGATTCTAGTGCGGAAGGTCGCCGGTTTGATACCAGCTCGGAGCGGGTTGGGTGGTGTAGAACTGGCTGCATTTTATTGGTGCCGTGACCCGGATGGGAGTGAGGTTTAGGGGGGTGAGTGAAGCAGAGGCCAGCTAGTAAGTGCTGTGCAGGTAAACCTCACTCCTCTGACCTCGAAAGGTGCTCTAGAGGCCATGGTCTTTATCCTCCTTGGTAGAGCAACCGACTACCATGCGAAAGGTAGCCGGTTCAATACCAGCTCGGAGTGGGTTGGGTGGCGGCATTACACTAGCCACTGTGCTGCCATTTAATTGATATATTATATAATATAATGCTTAAGTTTTTTTGTAATTTTCAAAAGGGGTGTACCCATTTATGCTGTGCACCATATATATTATCATACTATATATATATATGTATGTATAATTTATATGTATGTATAATATATATGTATAATTTCAGTGATAGGTGCCTGTGTAGTGTCTCTTTTCAATATAAACCTATTTTTGGTAACACTGCCTTAGATAAAAGTAAAAGGACAGCTCTTGTTTTGCCTTTGTAGATTAAATATAGATTTTTTTCATCATCAAGGGCTGTTATATCTAAATCTTCCTTATTACCAGACTTTTCAAGTAACCTACAGGGAGCAGATCTAGTTTCAAGCAGAACCTCAAAGTGGTTTAAACGTGAGTATTCGCAAATACTATAAAGCACTCAGCCATAAATATGCGCAAAAGTGTAGAAAAACAAAACCATGTAGAAGAAAAAAATGGATTGCGAGCAGCAAACTACTTCTAGGATTCACAGTGCATGTCTCCACTGAACAAATAACAGAAAATACTGAGCGATTACACTGATGCGAATGATAAAGAAGTCTTTCTCAGGGTTATAAATTCAATCTGAAAATATAACGTGTCTCTCACAGAGCTCCAAGTGTACTTTATCCGCTAGACTCCTCAGTTTCTCCATTGGTTTGACTTCACAGCGTCGCTTTTCGACACCTCAAACTGAAGCAAATGTGCTTTTCTCCTCATAATAAAGGGCTGAATCGATTCGCAGTGTTTTTTTTCCTCTTGCTTATGTCCCGGCGTAGGCTTCTTGAGGCATCGGCGAAGTCTCGTCGATGGTCACCACCAGTTCTTCAGGCTTCATGGAGTGATTATAAGTGATACAGAGTGTTTCCGGTGCATGTGAGAGATCGTTCATTTCATTCACGCTGCTGCTGATGCAGTTCACCTCACTCTTGCTCCTGCGGTGGTTTTCTGAACGAGGACCAAACACCCATTCTGATGAGAAACACAGATTACATATGATTATCAGTCAACAGATCCACTGCTGAAGAGAAAGGACAGAATGTGTAAGCTGTTACAATATATATATATATATATATATATATATATATATACACACACACACACACACACACATATATATATATATATATATATATACATACACACACACATATATACATATATATATATACAAACATACATATGTGTAAATATATATGTATGTAAATTTATATATATATGCATGCATGTATAAATATATATATATATATATATATGCTTCGAGCCTCGGCTGGGTCAATTGGCGTTTCTGTGTGGAGTTTGCATGTTCTCCCCGTGTTCGCATGTGTTTGCTAATTCAAACATCAACTATTATTAGTCAACTAAACAAGACACTTTGTAAGAGGCGAAATTCAGTCTACTTTGACAAAAAAGTGAAAGTGTTTGTTTTGAAAATGCTCTGGGAGCAGATTCAGTCAGAAAACCGAGATATCAAGCATAAGACACAAGAAAAAGAGCAGCAAACAGCCTGTGGCAGCAGAAGCGAGAGGTTAAACCATGGTAATCTGCACTGACGGAGATGAAAACACACTCACAGACGCCTAAGATGAACATACAGATTAATATGCAATGGACTCAAATGCACATCTGAAAACCAATAACAAGAATGTGTCTTACAAAAAACAGACATGCACACATTATTCAACATTCATTCATTCATTTTCCTTCAGCTTAGTCTCTGATTTGTCAGAGGACGCCACAGAGGAATGAACCGCCAACAATTCCAGCATATTTTTTACACAGCTGATACCCTTCCAGCTGCAACCCAGTACTCAGAAACACCCATACACTCACATTCAAACACAATGTGGCCTATTTAGTTTAGTTTGGACTAGGCTTGTGCCATTAGATGATGCCATTGTCTATCGCCGATGGCCGACAAACTTCACGATGTTGAGGCGGCATCGAGATCCATCGTCCCGCCTCACATTTATATTAATATATAACTTATTGTTTGCATGTCATCTTAATAGCAGTAAGGGTCTTTTCATGAGCTGTGTTTAATGTTACATATAGCTGTCGCTTGCGCGGCTGACAGCAGCGTGAGGATTAAATTAAGAATTATACAGCACCTAAAATGTGTAGATTCAGTTCGCGGTTACCTGCGAACCCCGTCCCACAGACTTCACAGTGAATGGCGTTAGTCGTTTTCATAGCGGACTTGAAGCCACTGGAAGTCTTTTATCCACTCTTGGAAAAATGTAAATAGTGGATTAACATTCAGCACATGATCACTAATAAGATGTGCCATTGTTCGTAACTTTAGGTAAATCTGTCAGTGTTATTTTCGTTCTCTCATCTTCAGCGCTTCACATTTTCGCGGTTGTAGCGCCTGTCATCTGAAGGCAGAAGGCATTGACTGAATGATTGACAGCTGATATTAACCAATCATTTGCGTTCAGTTCTAGAGCAGTGGGCCAATAAGAAGAGCACAAAGGCGGGGCAAGCATTGCAGGCTTTTTACTTCAGCAAGTTCACATAACAATTGTTTTAATCTGTTCCTGAGCGCTGGGTTTGGCGTTTTTAGGTGCAAAGTTGCATTCTGCATAAATGTCTCCTAAATCCGTACAAGCGAAATTATTATTTCCTCATAATAATAATAAAATAAGAAAGTTATCATCAATCACAATACAAATTACAGCGAACTCCAAACGAACTCTCGTCTCCTCCAGCTGTGGGAAAAGCCATTGTAACGACACAGATCACTGCCTATTCATGCCAGAGTCCTGCGGGAAAAAAAGTGATTGACAGGTGGTAATTTGTGTGTAACTTTATTTACTTATGGTTTGGTTATGGGTAAAGCAAAGACCATGTGGGTCAGGTAGTGAAAATGGTAGGCTTCAATTAATTAATTTGTTATTTATTAATTGACATTTAACAAACACCCCGACCCCCCGCCTACGACGACGATGTCATCGTCCATCACGATGTTTCACATTAGACATCGTACGATGCCAAATTGGTCAACAGCGTCCCACCCAGGTTTGCGCTGTGGGGGGGGAAACCGGAGCACCCGGAGGAAACCCACGCCAACACAGGGGGAAGATGCAAACTCCACACAGACATGCCAACTGGCCCAGCGTGACTCAAACCAGCAACCTTCTTGCTGTGAGGCAACAGTGCTAAACACAGAGCCACCGTGACGCCCCATTATTCAAACATCAAATACATTATCATTCAAAGACACAAGCTGAGTTAGAAATAGCCCATGGGTTGATTAACAGCTCTTATTTCAGTAATGTAATAAAAAAGGATGATAATTTGTTATGAAACACAAGCTGGGAAAGTCTCGCAAAACCTGTCAAGAACACGTCTGAAACATATTGTATATTTCATGAAAACAAAATTGATATTCCAATTAGAGAAGCAGCAACAGTGTCGATTTGTAATGCAATACTCGCTACATATTAAATCTGAGCTCCAGGCTGCTGTCTGACTGCATTCATTACACTCTTTACCAGAGAAACTTTGGAGTTCACTTAAAGTTATGAACAAAAATTATTTTAGTAGGAAGTGGGTAGGCAGTAGGTAGTGCTGTCACCTAACAGCAAGAAGCTCACTGGTTCGAACCTCGGCTCAGTTGGCGTTTCCGTGAGGAGTTTGCATGTTCTCCCTGCGATTGAGTGGGTTTTCTACGGGTGCTCCGGTTTCCCCCACAGTCCAAAGACATGCGGTACAGGTGAATTGGGTCGGCTAAATAGTCCGTAGTGTATGAGTGTGTGTATGAATGAGTGTGTGGGTGTTTCCCAGAGATGGGTTGCAGCTGGAAGGGTATCCACTGCGTAAAAATGTGCTGGATAAGTTGGCGGTTCATTCCACTGTGGCAATTCCGGATTAATAAAGGGACTAAGCCGACAAGAAAATAAATGAATGCAATGTTATGGGCTGCATGGTGGCGCAGTGGGTAGCACGTTTGCCTCACAGCAAGAAGGTGGAGTTTGCATGTTCTCCCCGTGTTGACGTGGGTTTCCTCCGGGTGCTCCGGTTTATTGGTAAACTGGGTAGGCTAAATTGTCCGTAGTGTATGAGTGTGTATGGATGTTTTCTAGTAATGGGTTGCAGATTGAAGGGCATCCGCTGCATAAAACATATGCTGGATAAGTTGGCAGTTCATTCCACTGTGGCGACCTCGGAATAATTAAGAGACTAAGCCGAAAAGAAAATGAATGCATGCATGAATGAATGAATGAAAAAAATAGAGTGGGAGAGTTTAGCTGACGCGGTTAACGCAGTTGGGTCTGAACATCGCACTGTGAGTAAATTAAGAAAGAAATTATCCAATGTAAAGGTGCAGGTTATGAGGAGAACATCGGCACACCATCAAAGTGTGGACCGAACAGGCGGGGGAACAGGGGATGCTGAACTAACACCCTTTGAGGAGAGAGTTGCCTCAATTGTGGGCGACACTTTACTGTCTGGAGTAGTATCCGTGTCTGTGGGAGACACAGATGTATTAGAGGAACACTTTGTTAGGGCGGTATAGCAGCACCCCTCCGTTCTTATTGAGGAAGCACCACCGGCATTTTAGATGCCCAATATCCCGCTCTACAACTGACCGAGTGCAAGAATGGGCATCATTGTATCTGCGCTCTTGGTCAGTTTGTGGGTTGTTGAGGGGGGTCAACAGCCACGTCTTTAATAGATAACCGCGGTCTCCTGATAATAATTACACTCAAAATTCATTCATTCATTTTCTTTTCAACTTAGTCCCTTTATTAATCCAGGGTCGCCACAGCGGAATGAACCGCCAACTTATCCAGCTTTTACACGGCAGATGCCCTTCCAGCCGCAACCCATCTCTAGGAAACATCCGCACACACTCATACACTACGGAGACATGTAACATGTAAACTCCACACAGAAACTGACCCAGCCGAGGCTCGAACCAGCGACCTTCTTGCTGTGAGGCCACAATTCTAACCACTACTTGATAAATGACTCAGACAACCTTTATGTACCATCATCCAGTCTAAACACTCCATCAAACTGAACACAGACGCTTGGCAAAATCCACCAGCCTATACACACAGCCAAAGACTTTACTAAACACACTCGCCTTAGACTCAGAGAGCATCCCGGAATTAAGATTAGCAGATAATACAGCAGTCAGACTGAAGGCTGTGAGTAAACAAATGTGCCTGATAAGCAGAACTGTATAATGCCGTAAAAACTTTGCACACATTCATGCCATTTAGACAGAAGTTACAAAGGAAAGTGAAAATTTAACAATTACGAGGACATGAAATCAGATTTATCATTAATAAAATCATTTATTAATTTTCCTTTTTAAGTTTAGGGCACAGAGGAAACCCACTCCAACAAGGGGAGAACATGCAAACTCCACACAGAAATGCCAACTGACCCAGCCGAGGCTCGAACTAGCGATCTTCTTGTTGTGAGGCCACATTTCTAACCACTGAGCCACCGTGCTGCTCCAGACATTTTAAATTAGCCTATTGTACATCAGTAATCACAATACTGTGAAACCGTAATATTTAAATATCGGCCCATGCCTACTTTAAACACTTATAACTTGCCTCATAAAAAACAGACATACAAAACAACCCAAATAGAGTGTGCTTATCTTGACATGTAAATCACAATGGTAATACAATTAGAGGGATACAAAGTTAGCGTTAGCTCTACGATAAAAGATCTGGGTGTCATATTAGACAGCAATTTAACTTTTGAAAATTATATCCCATGTCACAAAAACTGTCTTCTTTCATCTGAGAAATATCGCTAAGTTACGAAGTATGCTATCCATCTCAGATGCAGAAAAGCTAGTCCATGCTTTTATGACTTCTAGGCTGGATTACTGTAATGCTCTATTTGCTGGCTGCCCAGCATCCTCTTTTAACAAACTTCAATTAGTGCAAAATGCAGCAGCCAGAGTTCTTACCAGGTCTAGAAAATATGATCATATCACCCTA